TTTCCTTTTAGCATTGGGTTGGGGGAAGAAGTTGGATTAATGTTTAGTCAACAGTTCATTGGGATAAGGACCTCTAGTGGCTCAGTGGTTAAACCATTTGGCTGCTAACCAAACGGATGGCTGTTCAAATCCACCAGCCACTTGGTGGGAGGACGATGACAGAGTCTGCTTCCGTAAAGATTACAGCCTTGGAAATCCTATGAGGCATTTCTCCTCTGTCCTATACGGTCACCATGGAATCAACTCAACAGTAGTGGATTTTTTTGGCTTTGATGGGCTAGCACAGTGCTGTTGCTTAGGAAAAGAAACAACCTAGTAAAGGAATTCATGGGAAAGTGTGCACAACTTTGGTCTGTTTTGGGATTTGGTCATTTTGCCGTAAATGCTGTTGCCATATCAAACCTCCTGTCACAAATGTTCCCTCTGTATAACATGTCCTTCTATCTCACAAGTTACCACCCAGAGGAGGAATCCCTCCCACTCCTGAAAGATGTTTGTCCATCCTCAGCTTGACCACTTCGAGGAGCCAGGGAACTTACTACATCCTCACATGGCAGTCAGTTCCATTCTTGGACAGATAAATTATTTAAAAATTCTTCCTTCTGTTGAAGCAGCTGCTGTCTTCTTAGGACTGAAAGCCACAAAATGCTGGAGCTGGGAAGAGAGCTGATTTTTTTCCCAGACATAGGAGCCACCACTTACCCATTTTGCATCAGGGCAAGCACGTCAGTCACTGTACCCTTTCTCACAGAACCAGGAAATAGAATGTAGCTTTAATTTTTTTTTTTTTTTTAATTCTTCTTTAAAAATTACAAAAATGATATGTGTACACTTGTAGCAAGTGAGATTGTAAAAAATTATATAGTTAAAACTCTTCCTTCTTCCCAAGGTAACCAGTGCTAGCAACCTAGAGTATATCCTTCTACACATTAAAACATAGATATTCATCTCTAAGGGTATGTGAGTATGTGTCTGTAAAAAATTACTAAATCTTGCTGTCAGGATCAAAAATGTTTTTAATAACTATGTAGTGTTCCACAGTGGGGTGTGCCTCAATTTATTAATCTTCCCTCACTGATGGATATTCAGGTTGCGTGATTTCTTCAGGATCCTTCTCACCACTGTGCTCCAGGCAGCCACTACCAATCGATTGGAATTAGCCTGTGAGGTAAAATCTGTTTTGTTGCGTCTGAACTCTCTTATCTCACATATTAGAAAGAGGAAGCAGAGTAGTTCAAAGATCAAAGTGAATCAGGGCCTGGGGCAGGATTGGAACTGAATTTTCTTGACTTTCAACATTTCCTACATCTCATGTTGCCTCTTACTTAGAGCCTTCTGCTCTGGTTCTCACCTATGGAACAGAAGAACAAATCTAATTCCTCTTCTGTGAACTTATTACATTTCAAAGTCAGTTATGCTGTCCCTTCAGAGTCTTCTCTTCCCCAGGGGACATTTCTTCAGGGCCTTCAAACTTTTCTCTGATGAGAAGGTTTCCAACTCATTTATCATCTTCGGGGCCATTCCTTGTAGCATTTTTACTCCAGGGCTGTAGAAATCCCATGTGCAGCTTCCATGCTTACCTGCTCCCTTGGTAGCTACTCACATTCATTCAACAAATATATATGGAACATCTTCTGTATGCTGGCACTGTTCTGGGTACTGGGAGACCATATAGCTTGCATTTTGGTGGGAAGAGAGAAAACGACAAAAATAAGTTGGTATCTCGGGCTGCCAGATTATATAAAATAAATGAAACAGTTAATGTAGAGTCACTGGGGTAGAGATTCTTTGGATTAAATAGGGAAGATCTCTCTAAGGAAGTAACACTGAGCTGAGAGTTGAGTGACAAGCAGGAGCCAGGCATATATAAGTCTAGGGGAAGAAGATTCTAGTGAACAAGAGGGTACAAGATGAATTTGAGGGGGCCACAGGAATCCTTCTGGGTCCTGTAGGCCATGATAAGAAATTTAGATTTAGTTTAGATTTTATTCTAAGTGCAGTGGGAAGCCATTGGAAAATTTCAAGTCATGAGGCAACATGATTTCCCTTTTAAAAAGAATGCTGGGTTCGTAAATTTTGGTCAGTGACATGAGACAAAGTATATTATGTGAACTGCTGTATGAAAAGTGAATTTACGCTGTAAATCTTCACCCAAATCAAAATAAAATTTAAAAAAAAAAAAAGAATGCTGGGGGGACTGTTTAACTTGGAGCAAGGTTTTATTTCCCCCAATAACTTTCTCAGTTTCATGCATCCAGAGGGATTGACAGCTAGGTTCAGTTTGTTCTCCTTGGAGTCCCACAGGGGATCCATGAGATAGGTCATAGCCATTGTCAGATATACCCCACAACCCTCTCAGCAGGGAGATAGAAATAGCCCTCTAAGACCTGGGCCTTTGTATGGCAGTCTCAACTGGGGGTGTGGGCCCTAAGGAACCACAGGCCTGTTGGCAGCCAGAGGGGATAGAGCTGAATGTGGTTTGGGGATGGAGCTAAGGGCACTGGTCACAAGCAAGGCAGAAGGGGGAATGTGAGTGGAGACCTGGAGCTTGAGACACTTGGAAACCGGCTTCGAATGGTGTCCAGAAACCAGTCAGTTGAAGAATAAGCCTATTGTTTACCCAATTGAAACAGCTTCTGTGAAGTTCCTGCCTTAGGAATTTGCACTTTCTTGCTTGGGAGTTTTTGACTATTGATTTTCCCCTTCCCCTCGGGTTGGCATCCTCTTGGTTCCCAAGAGTCTAAATGACAGCCTGCATCTCTGGAAGACAAGGGGATTTCCTAGTTCATAGGGCTTGGGTCTGGAGCCACCCTCAGGGGAGTGAAGAAGGCGGCTTTGAGAGATCCCTCTCAGAATAGAGATAGGCAGGATCTTAAAGAGCTGAGTGGGAGAAGTGAGAGATCCCCTCAGTCTGCTGGAAATCTTTGGGCTAACAGGTACCTAGCCACTCCCATTTTAGTGTGTGGGGAGTTCTTAGCTTAAAGTACAAAAGTAGCAGCAGAAGAAATCCATTAAATGGGGAAGAGATAGTCTCTTTAACAATGGTGCTGGAAAAACTGGATATCCATTTGCAGAAAAATGAAACAAGATCTGTACCTCACACCATACACACAAACTAACTCCAGATGGATCAAAGACTTAAATGTGTAAAGTTCCTCAAAGAAAAACTAGGGGCAAATTTAGGGACCCTAATACATGGCATAAATAGACCATCAGGCATAACCCAAAATGTATAACAACAGAAGATAAACTACGTGAATGGGACCTTCTAAAAGTTCAGTTTTTATGTGCTTCAAAAGACTTCTCCAAAAGAGTAAAAAGAGAACCTACACATTGGGAAAAAATATTTGGCAGCAACATATCTGACAAGGGACTTATTTCTCAAATTTATAGAAAACTCCAGCACCTCAACAACAAATAGACAAACAATCCGATTAAAAAATGGGCAGAAGACATGAATAAACACTTCACTAAAGAGGATATTGAGGCGGCCAACAAACACATGAAGAAATGTTCACAATCATTAGTCATTAGAGAGATGCAAATCAAAACAACAATGAGATACCATCTTGCGCCGGGACTAATAGCAAAGTTCAGCAAGAAAGAAAACAACAAATGCTGGTGAGGATGTGGAGAGATTGGGACTTTCATACACTGCTGGTGAGACTGTAAAATGATACAACCACTGGAAAGCAGTATGGTGAGTCCTTAAAAAGTTAGAATTAGAAATACATTTGATCCAGCAATCTCGTTACTAGGTATATATCCTAAAGAAGAGAGAGCCAGGACAAGAACAGATACATGCACACCCATGTTCATCACAGCTCTGTTTACAATAGCCAAAAGATGGAAACAACCTAGGTACCCGTCAACAAAAGAATGGATAAGCAAACTATGGTACATACACACAATGGAATACGATGCAACCCTAAAGAATAATGTAGAATCTGCAAAACACCGCACAACGCAGATGAACTTAGAGGCCATTATGCTGAGTGAAGTAAGTCAATCACAGAAGGACAAATATTGTATTAGTTCATTATTGTAAAGTCAAAGAAAGGTTTATATATGGAAGGAATGATTCTTTGTTGGTTACCGGGGGTGCCAGAGGAGGGGAGGGAACACTGCAAAAATGAAATAATAATAAATAAAAAGGTAGCTGCAAAAGAGCAGTCTCTCTGTTAGCTCTCAGAGGAAGTGGCCCGAGACAGCAAGGTCAGGGGAGGTGCCCGGGTTATGTGTCTGCTTATTAGTGGGCTTGGGGCCAGTCTCTCTTAATGCAGATCTCTTTCGTAGTGTTTACCCTCACCTACTTTTCTGGAAGGAGCTCTGGTAGCATAGTGTCTAAGGCACTTGACTGCTAACCAGCAGGCTGGCGGTTCAAACCCACCAGCCACTCCTCGGAAGGAAGGTTGGGCAATCCTACTTCTGTAGTGATACTGCCTCGGAAACGGGGCCGACTCGACGGCACATAACAACAACAACAACTTTTCTGGAAAAATCTTACCATCTCACTCTGCTTTAGATTTATTTCCCTTGGCCCTGTGACAGGTAGGATTGAGGATAGCATCATCTTTAGTCTCTGGGATGGGTCTCTGACTCCCAAGCCTTTTCTCTAGGTTTAGAGGTTGGCAGGAAAGTTGTTTTATCTCTGTTGGCTTCATCTTTCTCCCAGGACCTCAGCAAAGCAGGTTCCCTGACAGGAAGGCATGAGGCCTCCTTGCCCCCTCAACCTGCATTCACCAGGCCAGCACCAGCCCCTTCATTCTACCTGACACCGATGTTTCCTTTTCCAGGAGCTTGGAGAGGTGTGGCTGGACCAAGACATCCCTCAATGTGAGCAAGCTTCCTCTCCCCATCTCCTCTTGCCACCACGCCAGGGAACCACCTCAAGCCCTGGCCCTCAGGGGAGAGGTGACAGGAGCCCAGAGCCGAGACCATGTGACGGCGCTGGCCCTTGCCACCGCCGTCCCCCCCGCCCTGGCCTCAGGCCCGGCACCATGATGTTCCGAGACCAGGTGGGCATCCTCACTGGCTGGTTCAAGGGCTGGAATGAGTGTGAGCAGACGGTGGCCCTCTTGTCACTTCTGAAGCGGGTCACCCGCACCCAGGCCCGCTTCCTGCAGCTCTGCCTGGAGCACTCACTGGCAGACTGCAATGACATCCACCTGCTGGAGTCGGAGGCCAACAGTGCTGGTGAGTCTCTACCCCCAGAGATGGGAGCATAGAAGGAGGGAGACCTGGAACAGGAATAGATGTCAGCTGAGGAGGCCAGTCCAACTATTATACTAAGACGTGTGGCTGTTAGACTGGAGGGCAGTGGTCCCTGACCTCCCAGGTCATCATGGGTTTCCTGGGACTGTGTTGCCAGATACCCTCAGGCATGAAATGGAGGACTCCTGGGAAGAATGACCCACTGCCACTGAGTCGATTCCGGACTCATAGCTGCCTTTTAGGGCAGGGTAGAACTGCCCATAGGGTTTTCTTTACAGAAACAGACTGCATTTTTCTCCTATGGAGCAGCTGGAGGGATTCAAACCTTCGACTCTTTGGTTAGCAGCCAAATGCTTTAACCACTGTACCACCAGCTTCCCAGGGGTGGAAAATAAAAACTGGAAATTACCTAGAGCAGAGGAAGGATCATGGTAGAGTGGCTTCTTTGCCCCAGGCAATGGCAAGGTGGCTGAAGGAAAGGCTGAAGGAAATAGACTGGTTATTACTTGTGAAAGAGGCATGGAGGGTGAGCCATAATTCATTTCTCAACCTCCAGAACATCAGAAGAGGGAATTTTAGACCTTTTGTCCATATTCAGAAGTCATCCTATACTGTTTACCTCTAAGGTAGGTTGCACGTGAGGCATAAGCAGCTTGAAGAGAGTTGTGGATTGATTTTTGTAGTCTCCATATCCATCCCCTAAGCCATCAGTAGAGGGGACTCCGTGTCCTGCAAGGTGGGCATCAGGAAGGTGAGCCAGGCTCACCTATCCTTAAAGCTCCAGTCATAGGAAGGAGGCAGGCCAGAATACCATCTCCAGAGATATTACTGAAGTCATTCTGGGCCTCACACAGACTCCACGAGGCTGGATGGAGAATTGACGCCAGTGGCAGGAGGGAGGGAGACCAGAGAAGAGAGACAGTAGCTTGAAAGCTAGCTGGGAAGGGGACTCAGGGATTCCATGCCAAACTTATCTAAAGTCGTTACCCTAACCCTTCCCACCTTCTTCTTCATAGTAGGTCACATTGAGCCCTTACAGCATGCCAAGTACTGTCTTTACTTATTATTAAAGGCAGTGTTCTTTGGTGGCTGTAGCGGCAGACTATCTGGTTTTGAATCCTAGTTCTGTCACTTCCTAGCTATATAATCACGTAACTTCACCTCTCTGTGAACTTCTCCTCATTTTTATAGGTGATTGTACTACCTTCTAGAGTAGTGGTGAGAATTCGTTGGGTTAATGTGTAACTCTTAGACTGGTGCCTGGCACTAGTACACACTTGGTGTCAGTTACTGATTTGTTGGTTTTTTGGTTTTGATCATTTAGCAACCCATGAGAGAATTACTTTTATTATCTTCATTTTATATGTGAGGAAACCAGCATGATGTTCTAGGATTGGGATCTGGATCTGGAGAGCCACTGAGCTGCCTGACCTTCCTCATCTCCCACCCACTTAGCATCCAAACCAAAACCAAACTCACTGCCATCAAATCAATTCTGACTCATGGTGACCCCCATGTGGGTTTCCAAGACTGTAAATCTTTACAGAAGTAGACTATCTCATCTTTCTTCCACAGAGTGCCTGGTGGGTTTGAACCAGTGGCCTTTTGGTTAGCAGCCAGATGACTTAACCACTATCCCACCAAAGCTCCTTTACTTAGCATCAGTCACCTTTATTTTACTATTTTTATGTACCTATCAAGGAAGCACTATGGTTGTGGGGGAAGAGGGTCACTCGGGCCAGGAATCACACCACTTTACTTCCCAGGCTAGTAGACAGTGAGCAGGAAGAAGCCACTCAGCTGAGCAGGTCAAAGCTCAGCCATTTCACGTACTGCCCCACCCTCCCTGAGCAGGGAGGGCTCCCCTCTGCTCCAGCACGTGCGTTCTGTGTTTGTGATATGGCTCTGCCCCCAGAATGTGAGTTCCTTTGAGGCAGACCACTAGTATCTTGCAGCTTTGTCACCTATCCCCACCACCCCATCCCGAGCAGGCATTGCATAACTGCTGGATGCCAATCTTGGCTATACATCAGAATTGCCAGTGGCACTTCCTGCTATTTATTTGAGTGTTTTTAGTTTTTGATTTTAAAAAAGGCATATTTGTAGTAAAATTAAAACCACAGACAAAAGGTGAGAAGTGACATTCTCTTCCAGACTCCCACCTTCCCAGTTTCTTGTTTTTTGCTTTGTAAGTTATTCTGTGAATATACAAGAATATCTCTCCAGCTTTTTAATTGTTTTAACACGTGGTAGAGCATCGTGCTTATTAACCAATTTGCTTTTTTCACTCAACAGTAGAACGTGAAGATGGTTCTGTAGGTAGCACATACACGTATACCTCATTACTATTAATGATCAGCTGTATGAGAAGAATACAGACCAAACTCACTGCTGTCAAGTTGGAGCCGACTGATAGCAACCCCTCCTTGGGTTTCTGAGGTAGTATCACTATGGAAGTAGATTGCCCAGTCTTCCTTCCTAGGAGCGTCTAATGGGGTTGAACCACCAGCCTTCTAGTTAGCAGTCAAATGCCTTAGGCACTACACCACCAGAACTCCCATAAGAAGAGTAGTAACATTATTGAGCACTTACCATGTGCCAAGCAGTGCTTTACCTTTATTACCCATTTTATTTGCACAGGAGCTCTTTAAGGCAGCTTATAGCAGGCACTTGACTGCTAACCAGAAGGCTGGCAGTTCAAACCCACCAGCCACTCCTCAGAAGGAAGACTGGATGATCTACTTCCATAGAGATACCGCCTTGGAAACCCAAGGAGGGGTCGCTGTGAGTCGGAATCGACTCGATGGCAGTGAGTTTTAGTCTTCTATAAGGCAGACCATAATATTTCCCCCTATTTTATAGGTGAAAAGACTGAGGTCGTAAGAATTGAAGGGTTCGTACAGCTCTGGTTCCTGGACTTGGTCAGAGGTGGAGCTGGGTTTGACATTAGAGCTCTTGCTCTTAGTCAGTAGGCTCTACTGCGTAGTATTCCGTTCCTCTACTGATGGACGCCCCGGCTTTGCCTAGTCTTGCTTTTATAAATGGTGCTGTAATGTATACTCTTTAAGCAACTAGGATAAATTTCTAGAGTTCTGTGGAACTGCTAGTTTGAAAGTACCTGCATTTAAAATATTTGCTCTCAACATATTGTCCTCAGAAGACTAGGTACAGTTTATACAACAGAACCTGAGGCCCATACCGGACTGGAATACTGTGGGTATGATCTAGCCAGGGTTGAGAATTGCTGTGGAATGAATTGAATGGTGAATTAAATGAATGTATCAATTAAGATAGGAGCCCTGGTGGCACGGTGGATAAGCACTTGGCTGCTAACCAGAATACTGTTGGTTTAAACCCACCAGCTGCTCTGTAGGAGAAAGATATAGCAGTCTGCTTCCAGAAAGATGATAGCCTTGGAAACCCTATGGGGCAGTTCTCTGTCCCATAAGGTCGCTGTGGGTTGGAATCAACAGCAATGGGTATGATGGGGTGTCAGGATCTCTATTCACACCCTCTGCCAGGTGGTGAGACTGTAACAAGCTTCTAAGAGAGGATCCCAATCTTTCTGGAGCTCATAGTCTAGTTGGGGGAACCATCATGCAGTAAAGGAGTAACGATGGCCCTAGAAAGTGCCTTCCTGTTACCAAGTCAGTAAAAAAGATAGAGAGGCACTGATTGGTGGATCAGTTGATTAATCATTGAATGTCTGATAGAGGGCTGAGTGTCAGGGAAGGCTTCCCAGCAAAGATGGGGTCCATGTGAGTTGTTCAATGGGTAGAGGGATGGGAAAAACGGAGGGAAGAGAGGAGGGTTGTGGCGTGTTCCAGCGTCAGCAGAAACCTGCTAGGACTGAAGCAAAGCACAACTCGAGAGGGAAGTGGTCACAGAAGTCAGTTGTGGAGGACCTGGAGTGCCTAGCTGAGGCAATGCCTTCTCCTAGTAGAGATGGGATCCCCAAGACTAAGGAGGCTGGTGTCTCCTGTCTCTCTCCTACCCTCTTGCCTTACTTGGGCCTAGGGGCCTGCTCTTGGGAAGAGCTGTACTTCTTTGTCTCTTCCCCTTCTCTTCATTATGACCTTCCTGTGCCTTAATGTTTCCCAAAGTTACCACATCATCAGAATCACCTTGATATGGCTGTTAATATCCAGATCTTGGGCCCCCACCCAGACCCACTACATCAGAATCCTGGGAATGAGAATGGGTGCTCAGGTTATTTTGATGACCAGGCGGTTTTGAGAGATGATTCATTCATCCAAGGACATGAGGATAGGAATTGGGAATGCAAGGGTCCTGGGTCCCCCTCTGACACTGCCACCTCTTATGACCTGGGCCAGGCCTGCCCTTCTTGGGCCTGCGGATTCCATATGGGTAGTGAGGGGGTGGTTCTGGGTACTCTCCAGGTGCCTCGGGTTCTGAAAACTGTGCCAATGGAAAGCAAAGCCATAGCTCAGCATATTACTTGCTTTGTTTTGGGCCTAGCAAATTCTTCTAAAGCAGCACTTCTTAGTATTTTATGGAAGGAGCCCCTCAGAATTTGTCCTCTGTTTCTCCTCAGCCTCCCTTCTCCCCCTCCCCGCCCAAAAGATGCAAACTTACTCCACACGTCAAGTCCTGAGTTCACTTGGTGCCCCTGCCCGAAGTGAAGAGCCACTTACTTCAGTATCGTTCCCCACACCACTCCCAAAGCCCCTCTTCAGCTATTCAGAGCACTTCAAGGCTGAGCCATGAGGCAAATCCTCTGCCTTTTTCTGGGTTTGTCCCTCCCTGTTCCACTTACCCAACCCTGCTCCTTCCTCCAGTTCTCCTAGGGAGACACGTTCTGGGTTTGGCTGAGAGCTGCTCCCAACCTTCTTCCTCAGAAAGGCAGGGAGCACAGAGGGATTGAGCTAGACGAGAGGTTCTGAACCCTGGCTTCATGTGAGAATCACCCAGGGACCATCTCAAAAAGAAATTGAGACCTGCGTTCTCTCCCCAGAGTCTGA